GTAGGCAGTAGATGTTTTTTGGGTGTGTGTGTGCACATTTATGCACACAAGTGTGTTTAATGTACTCCTGTATAGCTCCATTCAGCTGGGTAGAGATGTCTGAATTCTTCAAATGCAAAATTCATGTTGCATTCAAATAATTCCCTAATATATCAGTAGACCTGAAAGAAATCCACACTTTCAGTACAAACTTCACTGCAGAACCGACTGTATTTTCTCTTTCTGCCAAAGGGATGCTTCCTTGTTGTGGGGCATGAATATTCGAAGTAGCTGAAGGTTCATTCAATAAATAGTCCCAATTTCAGGCCTTCTGGCAGGTTCTGAAGATGCAATAATGAGTAAAAGCCATCTCTTCCTTTAAGAGGGAAAGAGAAGTAAAGATATCATCAGAGCATTAAGAGTCTCTACTACATTCAAAATACAAAGAACGGAGCAGATAACTACCCGGATGAATAAAGGGAAGCTTCCCAGAGGAGGTGACATTTAGCCCTCTTACAGGATGTGGCATAGAAAAGAAGGGAAGAGCTTTCCAGGCAGGAGGAATAGCATAAGCAAAGGCACAGAGGCAGGAGATGGCAGGGCCTGTGTGAGGAATGGCAGGTCCATGTGAAAAAACAAGTGATTTGTCTCTGTCCCGCATGCTTCCAGGAATTCAGAAATAGCATCATCATCCATGATGCTGAGAACTAGGAACACGAGAAAGTACATAACCTCACCGGGGCCTGTGGGCTGTCTTTAGATTCCAGCTGAGATAACTTCTGCTGCTGGACACACCTGCTATGGTTCATAGGGCCAGTGATGGAGACGTGCTCAATTAGTGACTTGAGTCAGGAAGTGAGTGGAAGGTATATGGCCACCTTCTGGCCTTGTCATTTCTCCTATGGGACCTCTGGGGCTATTAAGCTGGCATCTTTGGCCAGTTAATATTAAACCAGAGCCCACATAGCATATTTATTTTCAGAGCTTACAATGGTGAAGGAAAAGGGAAGGTGTCATTTCACTTCTTAACGCAGAGCCTGGCTTGTGCTCAAATCAGCCTTTCTAAAAATGTCTTTTAGAGAAAGATAGTTCCAAAGGAGGAGGAACCGATGTGTCTTGAGCAGGGGTCCTCAAACTTTTTAAACAGGGGGCCAGTTCACTGTCCTTCAGACCGTTGGAGGGCCGGACTATAGTTTAAAAAAAAAACTGTGAACAAATTCCTATGCACACAGCGGCGGCAGAAACACCCGGCGGGCCGGATAAATGTTTTCGGCGGGCCACATGTGGCCCACGGGCCGTAGTTGAGGACCCCTGGTCTTGAGCAACTGCTAGGTGCCAAGCATGGTCTGGGTTCTTTGACATCCATTAACTCCTCCGTGTTCTTCCCAAAAAGCTAAGGGGTGGATATTAGCAATAACGAAACCGAAGTTCAGGGAGGTTAAGTAACTTCCCCTAGGTCACACAGCTATTAGGTGGTAGAGCCAAGATTTAAACCCAGGTTGCCTGGCCCCTGAGACTTCTGCTTTCATTCTCATCTCAAGCCCTCTTCTGAGTTTGTGAAATACACAAGCACCTGCCCTCTCCTTCCTTTAATAAGAGCACCAGCAGATACCTTGTGATACACCCTCCACTGCCACCCCCCACCCCTTATGGCACTTGGCTGATTACAGTCACCCTCTCAGGGTCCAGATTGATTACCAAATTCCTGGTGAGAAAAGCACCAGTGGGAAGGGTTACAGGTAAATGCGGAGCTGATGAATGGCCTCATGCCTAGCTCCCACCACACTCTACAGCAGTGGTTCTCAACCTTCCTAATGCCACGACCCTTTAATACAGTTCCTCATGTTGTGGTGACCCCCAACCATAAAATTATTTTCGTTGCTACTTCATAACTGTAATTTGGCTACTGTTATGAATTGTAATGTAAATATCTGATATGCAGGATCTATTTTCATTGTTATAAATTGAACATCATTAACGCATAGTGATTAATCACAAAAACAATATGTAATTATATATGTGTTTTCCGATGGTCTTAGGCGACCCCTGTGAAAGGGTTGTTCGACCCCCAAAGGGGTCGCGACCCACAGGTTGAGAACCGCTTCTCTACAGTGAAATAGCCCCTTCCCCACAGTGGGAAGTCCTCTGGCTTACAAATGAGGAAGCTAGAGTTCACCCAATACATTGATAGCAGAGTGAAGATCAAAACATGGATTCCTAATTCTCAAGCAGATACTATCCCTCAGCCAGAGGTCTTTAAAGGAATGTTCAGAGGTCTAGGCCCATCTGTGTGTAAACAGAGTAGGTCCCCTGTTTTCTTTCTCACATGCTGAAGTGCTGCTAGGGAAGAAAACAGTGTTCGAAAACCACAGCAACCTTGGGCTATACAAATGGCTCTTGACTCTCTCCTGCCAGACTCTCTTGTAAAGAAGGCTTTTGTTTCCTGTGCATATCTTTGGTTAATTATTTTTAAATAAATAATTATGTAGCCTGTGGTAGGGGAGAAGCCTCCCAGTGACCCATATTTGATCATCAGAGGGCTGGCCCTCTTCCTGCAGCCAAATTAAATAGGCTAAAACCAGAGTCTGTTTGACTTGAGACTGAATCGATGATGGGGACAGGCTGGGGGTGAAAACACACCTGACTCCCAGCGTTATCACCACTCTCTCAGGAGCAGAGCATCTTGGGGAGGCAAATAGCTAGTCAGGGAGTGAGAGAAAGCAGAAGAAAAACCAGGTGAAGTCCAGTTCCTCCAAGAGGAGACAACCAGAGGGCCTCAGTGGTCCACCAGGTTTGGATGCTCTGGGAGCTATTCTCCATGGAAAGGTTGTTCCATTCAGTGCTTAGAACCTGCCTTACGTTGTCTAGAATTCTTGAGTCTTGGGCACCTATATTGGGGTCTATTCCTATACCAGCACCCTCCCCCCAGCATCTCCCTTAGTGGTTGCCATTTATTTAGCATTGTGCTAGGAGCTTTCTAGATGTTATCTCTAATATAAAAATAGGAAAGCATTCTCTCCATTTTATAAGAGGAAACTAAGGCACAGAGAAAAAAATTCCCGAAATTACACATCTGTTAAGAGCAACGTCAAGATCTGAACCTGAGTTAGTCTAGCTCCACAGCCCACAGCATCCCCACTGCCCCTCCTTGTTAGAAAATTATTCCTTTCATTGATTTGAAATCTGCTTCCCTCTTTCCCATTGAACATAGCTCTGACTTCTGAGCTCACAAGCTTCAGGTCTTTCTTCTTCCATAAAACAATACTATGAGCTAATGCGAGCGGAGAAAAAGGGCCTAATTTAACCCAGTGGGACAAAGTAGAGGGTGATAAATAGGAAAGCAGGGGGTTGCAGATCAGCGCAAAGGAAGACAGACAGGACTAGGCAGGGGGTGTTGATTTGGAGATGTAGAAGCCTTCCTTTCTTTTAACTTCATGGCTCCTAATTCCCCAAAAGTGTAATGGCCCAGACCAGTAGCTACCGATGGCTAGTGCTGCCCCACTATCAACACCACCCCCGTTAAGAGCCCCTTGAATCAAAGGATGGGGAAAACAACCAGTAGTAGAAGCCCATAGAGCATCCATTCAACCACTTGATAGTCAAACAAGTTGCTCTTGAGGGTTAGAGCCCTGCGTTAGCACTTACTTGTCTTCTCCCAGCCCTCATAAGCTTTAGGCCATATCAGCCTTGGGTAGTGTCCTTTAGGGGATCCAAGAAAAGCTGGCCTGGGTCTCCTCTCGGCAAGCTTTGTCTAAGTGAATTGGAGGCTGCAGTTATGACCGCTTGCCTGGCTTCTGGGGGGACTTTGTAGCCTCCTTGGGAAGGAGCAGGGCAGGGGGGGAAACAGACCAGCAGAATTAATATACTTTAAAAAGTGATGGTTCATCTTTGGATGGGAAACTGGGCAAAAGGAGAAGTACAGCCAAACAGTTGGCCCACCTCTCCAAATGAGTTCATGCCTAGAACATCCAATCTGCCTCCCTTGCAGAACAGGGTCCCCCAATCATTTTTTGACAAATCCAAAGCAAAAAACAAAAACAAAAACACAACACTCTCTTTCTAAGCTTTGAGCATAGGGTGAGTTGCCCACTACGCCAGCTTTGTCTTTGGCTGTCTGGTGGGCACATCAAGCAGGACTTTGATTCTGCAAACTTACCCAGGTTCTTTGCCCAGCTTCTGTTTCCTTCGGTTGTCTGGTCTCTCTACCCAGCATCTTCCCTTTCCTGAGCAAGAGGGTGGGTCAGGGCAGTGAGGTTATAAACATGCTTGGTTCTCCCCTCCCTTGCAGACCAAACTACAGTGCTTACTAAGCATCTACATCCCACCTGTGTGTGCTGCCTGCCCCACCTCTCAGCCTTCCCCTGTGCCCTGAAAATCAGCCAAATGGGACCCCATCAAAGGAATGTGAGTCCCAAAGCCAAGGACTCCTAGCTGCAGCCCCATCCCTGTCCTGCTTTGCCTGTGACCCCCAGGCCTTTTGGACTCAGCCAAAACAGTGGTGCACAGAGACTAATGCATTTTGCTATGGCTCTTTCAAGGGTCATTGGGCGAGTGCCTCTTTGTAAAATGGGTTAGCTCATACTTTGCAACCACACATAGCCGAGAGATGCCAGGAAAACATTTTTAAAAGGCATTTTGAAGAATAAAAGAAATATTCCAGCCAGGAAGAAGAAAACCCCAAATCCTAAAAGAACTATGCTAATGCAGCAACAAGCAGGATTCATTCATTCATTTGACATGTATTTATTGAGTGGCTACCAAGTGCCAAGGCACTGGAGATGCAGCAATGAACAAACAAAACAGATAAAAATGTCCTGCCCTCATGGAGCTTACATTGCAAAACTCAATAAAGGCCTTTCCCCTAGAAAGAGACCACCAGTATTTCTTGTGGGTAGACAGGGGAGGAGAAGGCAATTTTGTTTTCTTGTCATCCACTCTTGAAAACAAGGGGAGGGGTGGAGTTAGTATTCTGGGGCCCTGGTGGCACTAATGTTCACTGTTGGGTCTGCCTTGTTTTGCAGGAGTACGCTACAACCAACAGGGAAACAATGAGGTCACTTCCTCCTCTACAATCAGTCACCATGGCAACAGCGCCATGGTGACCAGCCAGTCTGTTTTACAGCAAGTCTCTCCAGCCAGCTTGGACCCAGGCCACAATCTCCTCTCACCTGATGGTAAAATGGTGAGTACACCTGGGCCATTGTAGCTCTGGAGCTGATAAGATAAGAGGCAAAACAAACACAACTTCTCACAAGGCCTGCCTCAAACAATGAACCATTGTAGCCCTACTGGGGAAGATGGGGGCTGCCCAGAGTTGGAATGGAAAGGTAGAATGGGTGACCCAGCCTTTGGCGGGTGGAAGAGGTGTTCGGTTTGAACCCAGCCAATAAATCTGACAGAGCTCTGCTCTCATTTTATTGATTGAATGCCTCATAAAGGAGCGAGCCGGGTGGGACACTGTTTGTTTTGGGGCTGCCAATGACATTTGTGTTGATAAAATGTTCATTCACCACCACCCCAACCAAGGCCTCCAAAGCCAGTTTTTCTGACCCAGAGGGGGCCTCACTTTTTCTCTTCACCACCCCCTGGTGCTGGCAAGGAGAGTAATTTAGTCAGGATTTAGTGGGTGGCAGGTGGGGAGAGCCTTCTTGAACAGGGATTTTGAAGGACATTGGATGGCATGCTAGTGACAATTGTGGCACAAAATGGCAGATGGGCTGGGGCAGTGCTTGCAGGGTGGGTGAGATGCACCGCCTTTGAAGTTACAATGACCCAGGTTCAAATCCCAGTTCCAGCACTTAATAGCTGTAGCCTTGAGTAGGTTACTGAGCTACTCCAGGTCTCTTTGTCATCTATAAAATGGGGGTAATAACAATAGGGTTATTGAGGAGACAAAGGTGGCAACATGGGAAGTACTCAGCACAGTGTTTGTTGAGGTAAATATTCAATAAGTGACAGTGTTGCCCAGCCAGTGAGGCTTAGTGGTTGAGCGTTGACCTATGACCAGGGAGGTCACAGTTCCATTCCCGGTCAGGGCACATGCCCGGGTTGCAGGCTCGATCCCCAATAGGGGGCATGCAAGAGCCAGCTGATCAATGATTCTCTCTCATCATTGATGTTTCTATTTCTCTCCCTCTCCCCTCCTCTCTGAAATCAATAAAAACATATTTAAAGAAAAAAAAAGTGACAGTATTGTTATGTTAACGTCAGTGTTATTCTCTCTGAATGACGTTTTCTATATCCATTACCACAGTCCATGCCCAGATGTAAGTTGAGCACACTTGGTGAGGTATGGACTGTTTGAGTTTGAATTTTCAAGGTTCGAATCCTCTAGCAGCGCAATTACAGGGGAGAGCAGTCCATGAGCAAATACAGGCATTACGACATCTGTAAGGGTAGGAAATGGAAAACTTTAGTCTTTGGTCATGCTCTGTGTTTGTTGGGGTGGGGGTGGGAGGTCCCCCGCACAGGTTCCTGGCTTCTATGCTCAAGGTGGAGCTGCATGCATTCCCTCAAGGTGTCTGACCCAGAGGTGGTGGAGGCCGGAGTGGGGGGAAGGGCCAGGGAGCAGATGCCATTTTAGACCTTGACGTGTGTGCTGTATGGGCAACACAGGAATGGTGAGTCACAGGTGATTGAGTCCCCAGCTCCCCGGAGGGAAAACAAAGTGTAGTTTCTGAGGAGAGAACTGGCCTGGTCCACTCTAGTTTCAGGGCACCTACCTGAGCTGATCTCCCTGGCAGGGCCTCTGCAAAATACATGAAAGGGGGCTCCTGGGGGAGGCATTTTGCGGCCTCCTTGCCCTCCCTTTTCCCTTCACCTTCTCCATGAAGAGCAGTTTGTCTCGGCTACCTTGTGAGAGGCACAGACAAGTCCTTATGAGTTCTCAAGAGTCACTTTGAGACCCAAACAAGCAGGGATGGCCCAGGCTTCCTTGGAGAAGGGACCTTGTAGAAGAGGTCTTGACTTCTCAGTGGATGTTTCCCTTGGAGTTTCCCTTTGAGCCCTCCCCCTTGATCTCCTAAGGGGCAGACCACCTCACCCAGGCCAGGCTACTCCAAGGGCAGCCTGCAGACACGCTTTCTTTTTGCTGTTCTGCTTGACAGTGCCCTGATGGGCAGTATATTCTTGGGTTGACGATTGACCAAGACAGTACACCTCAGCGTTAGCAAACACCTGGAAGCTTGTTTGCAGGAATCAGCTTTTCACCAGTCTCCAACACCCTGGCTCATATGTTATGTCACTATTACTGGAAACCTTAATTCAAGAGTCCGTGTCCTGTTAATGTCTAACAGATCTTGGTCCACCAAGGCAGGAGGGTACTATGGTTAACAATAATACAGGCGAGGGAACCAGTGTGTCCAAGTCTTGGGCTCTGTTATTTATCAGCAGTAGGGTGGGCATTGCTTAACTTCAGTTTCCTCATCTGTAAAGTGAGGGGTAAAATGAGGGGTAGTGGGTGTGAGGATGGTTTATCGCTCTGCTGTTCTTTGAGTACAAGGCCTGTACAAGGAATGTGTGCTTTCAGGAGGACTTGCATTTGAAATCTTCCCCCAGATACTGGTTTTGGAAATAATGCTGATCCATTTGCGCTTTGGTTTGCACTCTCTGTCCCCCACCCCTGCCCAGATGGCATGCGTTGACAAAGAGCTGGCCAGGGCTAGGGTTGCAGTCTGTGCATGTTGAACCTTGTTTTTTTAAAAGCATGTACTGGATATTTCCGCAGCATCGAAGCAGTGTGACCTAATGGTGAAAAGCTCAGGCCTCAGAGTCAGGTAGCTGCTTTCAATGCCAACTCTACCGCTTGGGCACATTTCTTACCTCCTCTAACTTCAGTTTCCTTGTGTGCAAAGTAGGGAGAATAATGCCGACCTCATAGGTTGTAGGCAGGTAAAGCAGTTAGCATAGTGAAAGGACTGCACTTGGCAGCATTAATTCACGTTCTCTGAATTATCATGTAAGGATCATGACTGATATCCTCAGCAGCCCCCTGGCTTCCATCAGTTCTGGAGGCAAATAAAAAATAATGGTTGCCGCCCTAGCTGGTTTGGCTCAGTGGATAGAGTGTGGGCCTGAGGACTGAAGGGTCCCGGGTTTGATTCCGGTCAAGGGCACGTACCACGGTTGCAGGCTTTGTCCCAGCCCTGGTCGGGGTACGCATGGGAGGCAACCAATCAATGTGTCTCTCTCACATCAATGCTTCTCTCTGTATCTCTCCCCCTCCCTACCACTCTAAAAAAGAAAGAAAATAATGGTTACATTTTAGAGTGGGAAGGAATTTGACCAAGGTTACCCAGACATAGTAAGTGGGTGGAATTTAAACTCCGGCAAAACTGGGTTTGGATTCTGACTTCCTCGCTTACTAGTCAAATGACATAGACTAGTTTCTCAATTCTTTGAAGATCACTTTCTTTTTTAAAAACATATGTATTTCATTGATTTTTTACAGAGAGGAAGGGAGAGGGATAGAGAGCTAGAAACATTGATAAGAGAGAAACATCGATCAGCTGCCTCCTGCACACTTCCCACTGTGGATGTGCCCGTAACCGAGGTACACGCCCTTGACGGGAATCGAACCTGGGACCCTTCAGTCCGCAGGCTGATGCTCTATCCACTGAGCCAAACCGGTCAGGGCTGAAGATCAATTTCTTAATCTGGAACATAGGTGCAGTCATCATAATGCCTTCCCTCTTGGGGTGTCATTATCTATCGAGGACAGTCAGTGACAGCACTTTATGAACTCTAAAGCCATCCACATTTACGTTGTTTGTATCATTGGCACCTACGTTTCTCTTTCACCACTAAACCCAAGCACTGGACTGGCAGAGATTACCGTCACTTCTTTGACTTTTTCTGAAGGACTACATTACCCAAGGGAAGTCTGAAGGCACATTACTGACTTTTTTTTTTTTTTAATGACTCTGACATTTTGAAAAACAAGTCCAGCAAACAGGCTGGTTTTCTCTTGTTTGATGTGGCTGGAATTCCTTCTTGGTCACATGACCCCTAACTCACTTCTTGATGCTCATTTTGAAAACACAAACAAACCTGTTTGGTTTTTTCTTTCTTTCTTTTTCAAATTAACCTTGGAAGCTATGGGGCTGATCGGAAGGGCAGGGGAGGAGGGAGATAGTATCTTGCCTCGGTGCTGGTGGGAGACCTATACTCTGAGCAGTTCTGGGTAACAAGAGATAGAAGAAAAACTAGACTACATCTGATGTGTGTATCCTAACCCTAAAACACCTCTCAGGGTTCCTGATGCCATCCAGAATGTCTGGATTAATTCAGAATGAGAGGGGGGATGTCCTTTCTTAATAATTTTAAAACTTATGTTAAAACTATAAATGGTAAACTGGCTTGTCATGAAAAAAAGTGTGTGTGTGTGTGTGTGTATGTATGTATGTAACTGATAGTTCCTTATAATTAATGGTGAAAAATTGGAAGCATTTCTGATAACATCAGAATCACAGCAAGCACATCTATTACAGCTGTTATTATTTAATACCAACCAATGCAGTATGACATGTACACATAATAGTACTAGCACAGAAGAGACCCTATCAGCATTATATGCTTATGATACCATTACACACCTGGAAAAATGAAGAAAATCAAAATGGAAAAGACACTTTTAGGAATAAATAAAAGGAATCAATTGTCAAGAAAAACATTCAGAGTGGCCATGTATGAAGTAAACACATAAAAGTCATTAGCTTTTTCTTACTAATCTGTCACTAGAATGTGATGTAACACAGAATGGGCATACCTGAGGCCCACAGCTTATTTAGTAGCTTTGTCATTACAATATCAGCTACTTGACAAAAAAAATTCTAATGCACAGTGGAGATTTGAAAAAGTAGAGAAGCTCAATAATACCTGATCTTCCCGAACCCTTGGTAATAGGTACAGGGGTGGGGAAAAGTTCTGTATAAAAGGTAAGAACTTGAGTTCTAGAGTCTGACAGTCCCAAGCTTATATGCCAGATGTACCATTTACTAGTTGTTGAATCTTAAGCAATATGCATATCTATGCTGAGCCTCAGTTTTTCCATCAGTGAAATGGGAATGGCAGGACTATCTACCTCATGGGACTATGGTGAGGTTTGTGAGTTAATATATGAGCAGTGCTTGGCAGAGCCTGTAGTCAGTGAGAGCTTCCCTGAGCTCCTGCCTGGTCCCCGACCTGCTCTCACTGGGGAATCCCAGGACATTTCTTCGGTTATTATTTTTAGCAATCATGTGTCTTTAGCACCAATTATATAGAAGGCATAGAGCAGGACGGAGGGTACTTCCAAAGTGAGCAAGAGACAATCATATAATATCCATGAGCAGAAGAATCAGTAAGGCAGGCTGGTAACTGTAAGATAGTCAACAGATGGAAGCACCATAAGGGAAGGGATTGTTGCCTATTTTATTTACTGCTCTATCTTCAGCACTTAGAACAGTTCCTACCTGCCAGTAGGTGCTTTTTAACTGTGACTGAGTGAATGAGTGACTGAATGAATTCATCCATTAATTAGTCGTGCTAAGGAATTGCTGAGTGGTGTCATTTTGGACACTGCTTTTTGCAGTTTCAATTCCACTTATGCTACCCTTGTTTTCTCTTTCCAGCAGATCTCGGTCTCAGGAGGTGGTTTGCCCCCCGTCAGCACCTTGACGAATATCCACAGCCTGTCCCACCATAACCCCCAGCAATCTCAAAACCTCATCATGACACCCCTCTCTGGAGTCATGGCCATTGCACAAAGTAAGCCTTGTTCTTGATCAGTAAACTTGGGGGCACAGAGAAGTAGCATGGGAAGTGAGTCAACCTGATAAGAAAGGACTAATGAAGACCCCTTCAAACTCACCCACCACTTGTAGGATTGAGTCACCTGGTTTAGTTTTTTATCTCTCTCCTTGACGATATTTGGATTGTTTAGCCTAAAACAAGAAAAAAAAAATTATGCGATGGAGTTGAATCTTGGTCACAGCTTATCAGCTGTGCATCCTGGTTCCAATCATTGAATCTTTATGAGGTTCAGTTTCCTAATCTGTAAAATGGGTTGCTGATCAATGACAGTGTGCACAGACATACTTATCGTCTATAAGGCATGAGTATGTATAATACTGTAGTTTATACTTTTGTCTAGTGTTCGTTCTATCCCTAAGTATGTGGGAGGTTCTCCAGGAGGTTGTCTAATGTTTGTGTCAGGTAAGTAGGATGGTTCTACAGCCAAAAAGATACACAAACCATCCTACTTACCTTCATTTTTCCCATGTCAAGCTTTGGCTGACACACACAGTTATATATTTTCTTGGGCCCTATCTGAACTAAAATTTTCTCTGTGGCTGCTCCATATTTTTCAATTTAGTTCCTCCTGATTTTCTTCACCCAGGTTTCTCTCCCTTCTCACAATATTGTTAATCTCCTACCGCAGCATGGCAACATCAGAGTGTTCATTGACTGTAGGGTGTGTGTGTGTGTGTGTGTGTGTGTGTGTACTTGGAATGGAATGGAGCATGAAGAATGGTGAACCGGAAAACATGGATGAAACACAGTAGTCCTATCTGTGGAGTGTCAGGATGAAGAATTAGCTGCAAGCACCCTCTTTTAGCCAGCTCATGTCCTGTTGGGTATGTGGGCCCTGCCTTGGGACCACTGAGGCCATGGAGATGTATTAACAAATTACTTGGCAGTGCCGATTCCTCCTCCTGTACTCATCTACTGGCCTGGACACCAGGCTTCTTAAGCAGGAATTAGTGCCCAGAAAACAGATGAAAAGGCCAAGAGTCACACTTCATGGGAGCTAGAATGACATCAGTGGCTCTCAGTCCTGGAATTGAGGCACATCAGGGTCACAGACTGCGTTAAAAGTAAGATCCTTGGGCCTCACCTCTAAAGGTTCTAGCTCATTAAGCCTTGGGTGGGGCCTAGGAATGTCTATTTCATAAGCTCACCCAGATGATTCTAAAGCACAGGCAGGTTTCAGAACCATGCCCTCAAATGTCATCCACTCTACACAGGATAATTTGCTTTTCTGGGCAGAGATTTCCCAACAGGCAGCAACAATGGGCTCTTGGGAAACAGCAAATCTATGGGACTTCTTAGGAGACTGAGCCCATCAGTGGAAGGTAGGAGAGGGAAACAGAATACCAGGATATCAGGTGAGACATTGGCTTGGGGAGACGCTGAGCCCCTGTGGGGAATTGGAGATAGTGCTATTCTGAGGATGATCTGAGGACCCCACCCCAGGCCCCACCCAGGAGAGCCAGGAGGGGGCTTATTCCCCCTTCACTCACCTTTTATGTTCCTGATAACAATATCAGCTAAAGCTCTGAGTAGGCAATTGTTGAGGTATTTGTGCTATCTCCATGGAGGACTTCCCACAGACCTGCTTATGAAACGATCTATTTCAGGAAAGGCTCTCTAGGTGTCCCATCCTCATTTACTAAAAGAGACCTTTTCCTGGATTTCCTTCTTCATTTTATTCTCCCCTTCCCCTTCCTCCCACTTCCCAGAAGGCAAGGCCAAAGGAACATTGGCAGGTCTAGGAAAGAGGTTGGGTGTCTTTCCTCTGATGCTCTTGTCCCCACTCCCAAACATCTCAGTTGCCTTCCCCAGAGTCTTGTGCAGGGAACAGATGGCATGGACCCAATCTTTGAAGTGCCCACCCCAGTTCTAGAGAGGCCTCAGGATATAAACAGTACAGAACCCCAGAGGTTCTCATGCCCCCAGATCAGGAAAATGGCAAGACCCACTACAACTGCCACCCTTCACTTTACTATTTCCTCCTCCCAGTATCTGCTCCTTGTGATGCCACAAGCCTTGGTGTTACCAGATAAGATATGCCCACTTCATAGACTGGCTAAGTTCCAGGGGTTTCCCTCCTCTTTGCTACAGTCAAGAGAATGAGCACCTAGCCTCTCCCAGGGTCTTGACATAAAGCTACTAAATGAGTGTCTTCAGACTCCCAGGACTGCAGAGGTGGTGGTGGTGGTGGTGTGTGTGTGTGTATGTGTGTGTGTGTGTGTGTACACCAAAATGTGGGTCCCTGCACACTCCTGCCCTCTGCTGGACAGACAGATCTGGGCAATAACCTGTTCTTCAGAGTGGCTGCCTTTAACTCTGCCCTGAGGGCATCACCAGGGCGGAAAGTCTCCCAGAGGCAGGCATGGATTGAGTGAGCAAGTAGGGTCAGCTTTCCCAGGGCCCTGGCAACCTCAAGGAAGGGAAGTGTGGGAGGTCATATCACTTTGGGAGACTCTCCAGCCTCAGTCAGATCTGTTTAAAGCCCATTTCCATCTATAACTCACTGTGGAATTTGAGCAAGTCCCTTAATCTCTTTAAGTCTCAGTGTTGTTGTCTGGAAAATGGACCTATAAAACTGCTTCCTATGCAGTCTCTGTGTCACCAGCTGAGTCCAGTGCCTGACACATAGCAGGGGCTCAGTGGATGGCCTTTGCCATCCATTTACCTCTCCTCATCCCTGAAGCCACCTCTGATCTTTCCCTCTTCCTCCCACAGGTCTCAACACCTCCCAAGCACAGAGCGTCCCCGTCATCAACAGTGTGGCCGGCAGCCTGGCAGCCCTGCAGCCGGTGCAGTTCTCCCAGCAGCTGCACAGCCCTCACCAGCAGCCCCTCATGCAGCAGAGCCCAGGCAGCCACATGGCCCAGCAGCCCTTCATGGCGGCTGTGACTCAGCTGCAGAACTCACACAGTAAGGACCCGGGAGGGTTGGGGAGGAACACAGAGGGCCCTCAGCAGCCAACCCCTTCCCTCTCTGGCTCTGAACTTTCTCTGAAGTTTGTCGGTTTGCTCCCTTTGTCCTACCTATGATCAACCAAGACAGTTTTTGAAGCATAACCCTTGCGTGGTGCTGTGCCTTTTCGATTCCTCTGCTCGACCCTCAGGAGCCCGGGGAGGGTCTGAAGAGGCCAGTTGAAGCCTGTGAGGGAGTTGGAGATAGAGAGCAGGGATGGTGTGGAACACGTGCCCCCGGTTTCCCACTCTGGCACCCACCAGTCAACCTCAGCACCTTTCCCAATGAGCTCCAAGTTAGCCTTTTCAACCTGGAAATCCAAGCAGCCATTCCCAAATGATTATAGTTGGCATATAATTTGCATCCTATTTGCCTTCCCTGGAATTGAAGAATCTCCTAGAGTCGCCATGCCTTCCAAGTTGCACTCCAAGCATCACAAACCATGCGTAGAGGTGGAAAATACCGCCTGCACGCCTTCCTGGACCAGGAATGTTAGTGTGTCTACCCCGCCCCGCCCCGCCCCCTAACCCCACCTCCTGGCTATTTCCCATCTCCAATTTCTATACGTACCCTAAGTCTACCTTTCAACCACTCATTTTCCACCTACTTCCAGCCCCTATAGCTCTCCCCACCCCTATCCTGAGCCCCGGGCTCCCCATCCTCTGGTCAGATTAGGGTATAGCCCCTGGCTTGCTAATTTGGGGAGAAATCATGGAAAGGATGGCTTCCCTGCTTCAGGCATGACCCCACAGGAACATCAGAGAAGTCTCTGGAATCGAGTGGTGGTCTTGGAGTCAGACAGACCTAGATTTAAATCTTGGCTCTGAGACATACCAGCTATATGGCCATTGGTATGTTACTTAGCCACTCTGAGCCTCAATTTCTTCACCCATAAAATGGAAGTAATATGTGTGTAGAGTGATTGTGGCGATAAAAATGGTTATGAACTGTGTTTGGTAAGCATCAAGAGTTATAGAAACACAAGTGACTGTTCATTAAGGGACTCCGTCGTAGGAGGAGGCAGGAATAAGGAAGAGGACTTCAGTTTCTCCCCTGAATGCCTCAGGCAGAGCTACGGACCTGAGGGAGACAGTCAAGTTCGGCCTTCTATCCTCCGGGCTCTATTCCCCCCTCAGGCCTGTGGAGCTGGTTTCTAAGCACCATCTCACATTCCAATCACATTTTTGTGGCTTTGAAAACATCTGCCACAGCCTGTAGCAGAGTCTGGGAGCACATGTGCCCTAGTTCCCTTCTTCTCAGGGCCTGGCAATATGCTCCCCACTTGCCCCTGCCCCCTCACCTGGGCAGGCTTCCTCCGTGGCTTCCTGGGTGGGTGGGACAGTCAGAGAGTGATCACCAGTGACCTATGAACTGCTGAGGCTCAGCTGGCCTGGCTGACTGTGAGGAGATCGCCTGTGGGGCTCCAGCCCAGGAAACAACCAGCCTCCCTCCACAGGGAGGGCAAGCCGAGGCAGCAGGCAGTGACCTTCACCCCTGTTCCCTACTCAGAGGACTCCTTGGGAGAACAGGCTGGTCCCTCCCTCAAGGCCAAGCATCCACATGCTTTCATTAGTTGGTCACATGGCCTAGAATTTACCTAAATCTTACGGAGTCGCAACTAGTGTGAATCAAAAGGTTCCAGACGTGGTGAACAAGTACTAAAAAGGGAGCCACATGTTCCTGGAGGTTTTATTAGATTCTAGTCTCCTTTTGTCTATCCTTCATATTTCTGGAATGTCATAAGAGGTGTTGTTGCATGTGTGACTCAATATCAGAAGGCATTTAGTGCAAACTGGAAAGCCCAGCATTATATCAGTTATGCCCATGTCTAATTACAATTTTTAATTAATCTCTGACTGCTAGCATGAAACCTGGTGCTTGAGTTCTGGCAGTTTTCCAGCTACTTAGAACTTTTTTGACTTAAAATCCCAGATGTACCACATATGCCTAAGGGTCCCTTGGTGGCACTCAGGCATCTCACAGAAGTGCCTTCCACCATTACA